CAAATTTGGTTCCCCCTTTCTCCAGGCTGAGGAGAAAGGGGGTGGGGATCACCCAGGAAGGGGCTTCATTTAACTCTTTGGCTTTGCTCCCCCACGAAGCAGCGGGGAACAAAACTGAAGGGTTAAAAACTTAAAAGCTGAGCAGAGGACCCCGTGCCGCTCAGCTGTTAGGTTTAAACGTCTGGCTTCGAACAGCCAAACCAAAAAAACCCAAAAGTCCAGTCAATGTTCAGGGAACGCTCCTTCCCCGAACATCACATCCCGAGCTCCGAACCAGCCCAAGTTCGGCCCAAATTTTACCTCATGAGCCAGTTTGTGCCCATCCCTACATATAACTCTCCTCTATGTACAACTTCTCGGATATCCTTAGCCATACCACTGCTCCAAGGACTTCATTCCACATATAAAACTTTTTACCTGCATCTCTGAAAAACATGCGAAGATAACATCAAGGCAAAGTTTCATTTAAAAACATCCCAGAAACAACATTTAAAACCAGCAGCAATTGAAACTTGACAACAGTTAAAAAACAACAACAACGCAGGGTCAGGCTGCTGGCAGTAGCTTTTAAACATCTTAACCTGGCAGCAAAACGTGACAAGATCAACATGGACTTGGGATAGTGAGGGTAATTATCATAGCATTGGAAGCTCTGAAACTTTACAGTTCTAATGTCATCAAAAGAGAGGAATGAGAGCAAAGTTTCACACACACACACACACACACCCGATCTGATGCAGCCTGGGAGAAGAGGTCTGACTCGAAACCACTCAGTCAAGTTCCATAACTTTCCATCATGTTACATCCCCTCCGACTGACCAATATATGCTCTGCTCTGTTGGCCTACAAATCTCTGACCCATGCAACCTCTTTACTCACGGACTGTCTTTTCACGCCTGCCAACCCGTTCATCTCTGTGGTATGTCCACCATGAAAACTAGGCTTCTGGCCTAGCCCGCAGACCCAATTCTCATACACTCCAACTGTCCTCGGCCTTAGTAAATCATGGCCGTGTAACCAACTGTCAGAGACTTCACAAAACAATATTTCTTATTCCCCCTTCTCTCACTGTAGGCATCTGAAATTTCATTCTGAGGGAGGTATCAGTGGGCACTCAGGAACAGTACAGGGAGCAAAGTCAGGGTCCGCGGCAGCAAGGAGAAACTGCTGTAAGTTGCCACCCCCTCTGCCAACTTAAGTCTTCAGAACTGTATGCCTGGATACATGCTACTGTCCCTCTTTTTGTCTGGAATGCCTTGCTAAAATTTTGTTAGTGGGAATTGCCCCCCAATTCCTTTTCACGGACCCTAGAACTTAAAATCACTGAGCGGGGAATGGGTGCATCTCATCTATAGCGCACACCCGTGTAAACAGAAGCACATGAATACGAAGGTGCTTTGCCCACACATCCTGCCATTTCACAGTGTGCAATTGGCAAAGTCTGTTCTGAACTGCTGATAGCACATCAAACCGCAATCATGTTTTTTTTTAAGTATGCCTTAACCAAAAAACCCCATAACCCTCTTGGGGTTTTTAAACTGTGGGATATGGGGCTAATGCAGAGCAAACGAACACACAGCAGGCAAAGTGATGATTTCACCCATGTGAAAAAATTGTGTGTTGCATGGAGACCTTGGTAACCCTTGGTGTCAGAACTGGGGTGCGAACAAGTGTGTCCCGATTTTAATCTGTGCAACACTGGTGAGCTGAGATAGAATTGGGTGTGTGTCAGTGTTCCCTCTAAGCTGAGTGAGTGTGAGCTAGCTCACAGTTTTTTAGCCTCCGTCTCACACATTTTTGCCTTAGCTCAGGAAGGGTGGCTCCAGAGCAAACTGATTTATGCAGCAGCCAAATGGCTCGCTCACAACTTTAACGCCAGCAGCTCACAAAGTAGGATTTTTGCTCACAAGACTCCACAGCTTAGAGGGAGCATTGGTGTGTGTGTGTGTTTAAATCTCAGAAATAAATGGGGGGAGGATAGGGAGACTAACCTTTGAAATAAACAATAGAGTCACCTGACGCTCCCTTTGGTCACTCGCACTTTTCTAGAAACAGAGAGCATTGACATTTGGTTTAAAACTCTGATCCCGGGAATGACTCGCAGAGAGCCAACTTTCAGACAGGGGAAGTTTTCTCAGCGGAGCTGTAAATCCCTGAAGGCAGGGATTTATAATAGAGTTTTTGACAGAGTCTTAACTATAGAAGTGCTAGTAGAAGCTGCTAATCACATTAGGTGAGATTATAGATGGCAGAGAAGTCTTTCGATACCTGGCCACCGTAGCTCTGACTAATTTATAGTGCTCTTGTCAAGAAGAAATCAAATTTCATAGTTATGACATTTCTTTCCAGAGTACTAAATGTTAACTTTGCTGAGCAGGCATATTTTGGAGTGGGTTGGGGGCGGGGAGGGAGAGAGACAGCTTTGTTCTAAATGGCAAATGTAATATATAGGGGGAGGGGGAGGGGGCATGATAACTTCATTCAAAGACTTCCATTAAGCAGACCTTTCCCATGCCAGTGAGAAGCAGGTGAAGAGATATAACAGCTTACAATCTGTTGGGGGTTGGAGATGAGACAGTCACTTTGGGATGGATCCTATGAAAGGCAAGGGGGAAGGTGCCTGATGCTCCAGAAGCCCCCCCCCCCCAATTCTCCCTTTTCCCACAGACTCCCCCAGAAGTTGGGGGGTCAGAGGTGCCTCATGGATGAAGGAGGAGGAGGAGGAGATTGGCTTTATACCCCACCCTTCACTACCTGAAGGAGTCTCAGAACAGCTTACAATCTCCTTTTCCCTCCCCCTCCCCACAACAGATACCCTGTGAGGTAGGTGGGACAGAGAGAGAGCTCTTTTGAGGACTGCTGGTGAGAGAACAGCTCAGAAAGAACTTGTAACTGACCCAAGGTCACACCAGCAGCTGTTATGTGGAGGAGTGGGGAATCAAACCTGGTTCTCCCAGATTGGAGTCCGCGCTCCTAACCACTACACCAAACTGGCTCTGAGGCAGGGTAGACTCTACTGCAGAGGGGGAATGGTCCACTTGTGTCAACAGAGAGGTTGCTCTGCCATGCTTGTTCTGCCGACAGAAGGACGAATTGGGACGAATTCTGTTTCCCCTTCTGTCTACAGATCCCTGTGCCAGTGGAATTCTGCTTAAGGGGCTCTTCCTCACCCCAAGCGCTGGGTCAAAAGGGGGGGGGTTGCTAGGGTAAAATGAAAATGGGAACAGATCTGTCTCTTCAAAATACCATTTTATAGTCTTCCTTTGCCAGGACCATCAGTGAGCTAAAAGCTTGAGCTGAAGACCTGAGTTCAAATCTAGAATCTAGCGTGGCACGCCACTCTCTCCTTGTTTTCAACACAAAGGTAAAAAAATCTGATCGGCCTGATGGTCTTCGCCTCACTGGCTGATTTGGACTGTTGAGGGGAGCTATGGACCGGATACATGTAAACCAACTGCCCTGGAAAGAAGAATGCCAGAAAATGTCAGACTCCATTGACAAACAACTACTCTGTGGAAGAAAAGGGTGAGAGAACAAGGACCCTTCCACTGAGCGGCCATGACAACCGGAGGGATGGTGGGAACTCTGTAACATTACTGCCCCGCCCTGGAGCCTCCCAGTGCCGCTGCAATTGGGAAACAGCTGTCAACTCTCCTCAGAGCCTATAGCAACAACACTGGGCTGGTAGGTGCCAATCTAGTGCTGCGCTTCTGGGAAAGAGGGATGTTTCTGCCTCTATGGCCTCAGACAAAGACGGCAGCAAGTAACAGCTGGGGGAACAAGAAAAGCAGGTGAACTTGGAAGTTTGTTACATCAGCTTGTGTAAGCTACTTTGGGGGGGGGGGGGATCCCAGGCAGGCAGGGTCTAGATGTCCAAATAAAGAAATGCCAGTAGAGAATTCCCTGTAAAGAATCTTGACCCAACCCTAGAGTCAACATGGTGCCCTAGCATGCTTGGGATAAATAAATAACCGATTCTGTTTTCTGACAAAGCATGCTCTAGCTCAGGAAAGTTTAAGCCACAGTAACTGTGGCCCCGGTCACACAGGCTGGATATCGCGGGGGGGAGGCGTGGCTAATTGCCCCGGCGCAGTTTGATGCGTGATTACGCGATCAGACGTGCCGGCGGCACACCACGGGTCCTTCCCTCAGCGCCGGCGGGTAAATGAGGGACCTGAGGGGAATGCCGCGCGCCGGGCGCGATCACACCAGGGGCGTCTGGAGACAGCCTGTGGCAAACGTTTACTAGTACCTTGGAGGTACTAGTTTTTTAAGGCGCATTGTCGGCGGTAAGCCACGGGTGCGCTCCACTTCCCAGATGTTGGGGTGTGATCGCGCCCGGATAATCCACCCACCATTCGTGCCTCTCCCGCGGCAACTTTTCCGTTTGACCGGGGCCTGTGTTAGTCTTTAAGGTACCACAGGACACTTGGGACGGACTCTAAGTCTTGCCTCCTTCTTGATTTGTGGTGGTGGTCTTCTGTGGTGCAATACTTTCTTCGGGCACTAGATGCTTTTTGGCCGAATTAAAAG